AGACGAGATGCCGGTGTCCGGGTGGACCTGCTTCAGCACCTTGTACACGTATACGGAGTAGCTCTCCTTACGGCTGCGCTTACGCTTCTTGCCGTCCTTCTTCTGCGCCTTAGTCACCGCCTTCTTGGAGCCCTTTTTCGGGGCTGGAGCCGACTTGGCTGGTTCAGGCATCTCAGCAAAGCACAAAAACCGCCCAACGAAAAAAACAGGTCTCGAAATGACTGCTTACACAAAGAAATTGTGGTCTTTTATAGGCGGCCTATGCAAATAAGGTATTGAAAAATATCCAGCTCTGATTTGATAATATAAGTGACGAGAGTATGCAAATTTACTTGCGTCACGTCTCCATTCCTATTGGTTCATAGTCAAAGATGATTTTTAACCAATCCAATCTCGTATTTGACTATTCCATTCAGCTCTATAACTGTCATCTTCTTGTTCTTCTTAGTACATTTCTTTTCTGCTTTTCTTGTGGTTATTTTGTCACTGCTGAGACTCAGTATGTCTGGACGTGGTAAACAGGGCGGCAAAGCTCGCGCCAAAGCCAAGACCCGTTCTTCGCGGGCCGGGCTCCAGTTCCCCGTGGGCCGCGTGCACCGCCTGCTCCGTAAAGGCAACTACTCTGAGCGTGTTGGTGCTGGAGCGCCGGTGTACCTGGCGGCGGTGCTGGAGTACCTAACGGCCGAGATCCTGGAGCTGGCAGGCAACGCGGCCCGCGACAACAAGAAGACGCGCATCATCCCGCGCCACCTGCAGCTGGCCATTCGCAACGACGAGGAGCTCAACAAGCTACTCGGTCGCGTGACTATCGCTCAGGGCGGCGTCCTGCCCAACATTCAGGCGGTTCTGCTGCCCAAGAAGACCGAGAGCCACCACAAGGCCAAGGGCAAGTGAAACATAGTTCTTAATTTCTGCTTCCGGAACTCAAAGGCTCTTTTCAGAGCCACCCACTTTTTCTGGAAAGCGCTGAAACACTTCATAAGTCCAGGAGACATGTTTCAATCCTTAATATGTGCTTGTGTTTTCATTTTGTTTATGCTAGTCTGATAATGTTTTGAGTTTAAAGATGGAAATCAGTTCCCATGTTTACCACAGATATGGTCAATTTAATTGTTGGTCACTATGCACCGTAGTCTTAAGAATTTATGAAGCTGAATAATGTCATTCCTTTTTAGTGAATGATGAAATGGGTTTAAGCAGAAAGGATCTCTGTTAAAGGAATTCTGTGTCAGGGCATAAATTAGGGCTTGTGGGCTCTAGGTGACATGTAAATGACAAGACCATAATGCCTCTTAAGAAGATTGGAATATATGTGCAGTATATATGTGTATATACAAATAAACTTGCTCTCAAACAGTAAAATATGAATAAATGAGAGAACAAAGGAATAGCTGACCAATGATATGTTAGGGCGGGCTTTTTAAATTTGGAGGATGCGAGCATTAATAGTGAGACATTTTATCCATTGGTTATTTCTCTTCAGAAAAAAATGTAATAAGTGAAGTACACTAAAATCAATACAACACGAAACCTTGCTGTTACGGACTCAAAGTGGACTATAAGTGAATAAAATTTCGACTTATATTCAATGCTAGTGGAAATCCAGTTGTACTTCTCCAGAAGGAAACCTGAGAACCAATTACAGCGGGGACACTAGGAACCAGACTGACCTGCTCTTACAAATAAGGTCAGAAACAGCACAAGCACGGTATGCTGTCCAGCCAGTTTCCTTTTCTGTTATCATCATGGCTCGCAGTAAGTGAGGTGGGAAGCCCCATTAAAAGACCAGCAGGACCCACAGGCAGGGCCACTACTTTAGTCCGGGGCCATCTGTTTCCCCGGCCCGGCGGCATTATCTGACTTCTGTGCTTCTGTAAACGGCTTGCTTCTAGGAAAGTCACACTTAGCCCTAAAATTCTATTGGTTCCCAAAGCTCACGCTTGATTGGTCCATTTATAACACCTTATTTGCATATGGCGCGAACCTACTCGAAAACTAAAATTGTCTTAAACCTTACAAAAGGGGTCCAGAGGGTGAAGTGTTCATTCCTCTGGGTCCGCCGGCGTAATAAACCTGACTTTTCTAACCATCCGAGTGTCGCTTGGTCTCTCGCCGGGATCCGGGTTTCTGTAACACTTTACTGTAACATAAGCCGGGAGCCCGCAAGTGCACGGGCGGCGTGAAGAAGTCGTAGCGTTACCAGCCCGGCACGGTGGCCCTGCGCGAGATCCGCCGCTACCAGAAGTCCACGGAGCTGCTGATCCGCAAGCTGCCGTTCCAGCGGCTGGTGCGCGAGATCGCGCAGGACTTCAAGACCGACCTGCACTTCCAAGCTCCCCCGTAATGGCGCTGCAGGAGGCGTGCGAGGCCTACCTGGTGGGGCTCTTCGAGGACACCAACCTGTGCGCCATACACGCCAAGCGCGTCATCATCAATACCTAGGGACATGCAGCTCGCATACCGCATCCGCTGGGAGAGGGCGTAACCTAAGGCTATTGCTTACACCGAACTGCAAAAGGGTCTTTTCAGAGCCACCTACTTTGTCAATGAGAACAGTTGTAATATATTCCTTTATGTTATCTCTGAATGAATGTAAGGTTTTGGGGGGGGGGGCGGTACTTAAACACCGGTAGTGGAAATACGTACTAGATTGTCTAACATATAATCTTATTTGGAACCATAATTGTGTGTAATGGCATATAAAATTTTGCTATTTAATTTTTGGAAATCGCTTCACTTCTCACTTCCAATGTTGTCTTTAAAACTACAGTTTTATTTTATGAGAATGGCATGAAGGTGTGTTTGGTATGGTTTATAGGTGTCGTCTCATTAGCCCATGCCTGGTCAAGTATCTGCTTTTCGGTCTGCAATCTCCACTTTTCTGTACTTTGCTTACCAGTGATAATTTACTATGACATTGAGTAAAAAGTGTTCAATTTCCCAGGTCTACAGAAAGTGAAATGATCCCACAACTCTCCTACCTAGACCCTCTTTATTTCCTATCAAGTCACAGTCATATGACATAATCATTTACATTTTTTTCAAAAAGATAAAGCCATGATTCAGCAAATACAAAATGAACATGTGTAAAGGAGCTAAAGTTTTCAATAAGTGAACCCATAGATAAAATGCTATGATAGGTTCAAAGAACATTTAAGAAATTAGGGTATTTATAGAAAATTTAACAAGAGAAATGTTAGGATAAGATTTAAATTAGGTTAAAATAAATTTATTGTCCAAGAATTCATAAATGTTTGGAGTTATATGTTCCACTGGACAGATATTATTTGCATTCCTACCAAATAAGACTGCAGGTTAAGTAAATTCACTAAGTTTGGTATCTATAATCAATAGTGAATAGTTATATGATCAAAGTACATATTCATAGAAAACTTGTGTGGTCTGTAACTTTGCATATTGGACATCACAGGCCCTTCTTTTCTTCCATGTTTCACATAATTTTTATCACACTGTGGACATATGTGATTCTTTGTTGAAGATGCTAGTTAAGCTGGAAGGAATATATGTGTATATATATATATATATATATATATATATATAAAGTAATAATATGTATATATATATATATATATATATATATATATATAATACATGAAATTTCAAAGTAAATTTCTATGAAATTTCATGTTGTAACTCCTTGATATTCTTATTTTATTTCTGAAACAAATAATAGACACTTTAACGTTTTTTTTACTCTTTCTAGACTTCAAAGTAATTGACCTGATGTTTTTAAACTCATTGTCTCTCCATCTTGACCTACTTTACAGGAATAGTAAATTATTTACTGACCTTCCTTCTATTGCAGAAAATGCTTTTTACTTCGATTAAATGATTCTTTTTTTGTAAAACCACTGAATGCATAGTATACCTTACCGAAGCTTAAGCCCTCATGGACACTCAATGCTTTATTTGTTTATTTATTTATTTTAAACTTTTTTTATTGCGTTATAGTCATTTTACAATGTTTTGTCAAGTTCCAATGTAAAGCACAATTTTTCAGTTATACATGAACACACATGTATTCACACTTTTTTTTTCGCTGTGAGCTACCACAAGATCTTGTATACATTCCCTAAGCTCTATAGTATAATCTTCTTTATCTATTGTACATATGCCTGTCAGTATCTACAAATTTTGAAATCCCATTCTCTCCCTTCCCAGCCCCCGCCCCCTCGGCAACCACAAGTTTGTATTATATGAGTCTATTTCTTTTTTGTATATATGTTCTTCACTGCTTTAATAATCAGTTTTAAATGTTGTTTCTCAAGAAACACACTTTTGGGAAAAAAAATTAGAGATTTTTCAGGTAGTCTCCTGATATTCTGCCTTTTAAGAATTCTAAGGTCAACAACTTTTCTAGTATTCATCTTTTCTTGCTCTGATAACTAATGGTTTATTTGACAAGCCTCTCTTAGTACCCTAACTTGGTTTGTATGTATGTATGTATGTATGTATGTATGTATGTATGTATGTATGTATTTGTTTGTTTGTTTTTACAATGCTTTATACTCTAGTTGGGACCAGTCTCTGTAATTGGGTTTCTTAGAAATACATTGAATGTCCCCAGTATTCCAAAGTCCATGATAGCAAGATTAGACAGAGATCAAGAAAGGAAGGATCTAGAGCAGTGCTGTCCAAAGAAAATAATGCAAGCTACGTATTTAATGAAAAATTTTTCAGCAGTCACCATTTAAAAAGTAAAATCATGCCATTGCTTAAATAATATATTGCATTTAACCCAAAACATCCAAGATAATTTCAACATGTAATCAATATAAGTACATTATTAACACAATATTTTACATTCTTTTATCAATCTAAATCTTCCAAATTGAGTGTATATTTTATTCAATATGATACTAATTTTTATTGGAGATGACTTGATTGGCATTTAAATCCCATACAATTTACTGCTGAAAATTAAGTTCACATCCTCGGATTGTTCAAACATACCTAAAATCTCCCAATAACTGAATGAAGGATCAGGTTTTAAATTTAAATTAATTAAAATTAAATAAAATTTAAAATTCAGTTCCTCAGCAGCATCAGCCACATTCCAAATGCTCAAAATGTATTACTGACTCCATCAGACAATGAAATCTTAGGGGGAATTGTGTTTGGGGTGTGGAGATGGTGATGGGTGACTGCTGGAAAAATCAGAGAGGTTATATAAATTTAAATGTAATCAACTAAATTTAGCACTGTCTTCTTAATAAAAATTTTACACTCATAGAGATCACTAACTTTTTCACCTTCATTTAAAGCGTTTCGGGGAGGAGAAAAGCCAGAGGTTGCTATATACCAGATAATGCGTTTAAAATACGAGGCAATGTACAATTTCGGTCAATGACTTGCCAATGACGTGTAAATATCCTAAAAACTCAAACTTGAAAAACAGATGTTGATAGGGATAATTATTTCAGTTCCTTGATAAACAAAGAAATGTTTCAATGTTCTTCAACAGGGAATTTTGTACTGAATAGTGAATTCAGGGAATGAGCAGGCTAAGCAGTCTTTTTCTTCTCAGAACTCCGCCCCCACAGGCTCCCCGGCATTTATGGGCGGAGATAAATTCGGCTGCCATCAAGCCCCTCCCGCCTTCCCAACTAGCCTCATTGATAGTTTTCAAATAGGTCCGCTGCAGGTTTATAAATAAAAATGGGTTTTTTTGTTTTTTCTTTTCTCAAGCACGTTTGTAGATAGTTCGTGTCTACTGGTAGTGATGTCTGGACGTGGGAAGGGTGGAAAAGGCCTGGGAAAAGGAGGTGCCAAGCGCCACCGAAAGGTGCTACGGGACAACATCCAGGGTATTACTAAGCCCGCGATCCGTCGTCCTGGCTCGGCGTGGCGGTGTCAAACGCATCTCCGGCCTCATCTACGAGGAGACCCGCGGGGTGCTGAAGGTGTTCCTGGAGAACGTGATCCGGGACGCGGTCACCTACACCGAGCACGCCAAGCGCAAGACGGTCACGGCCATGGACGTGGTCTACGCTCTCAAGCGCCAAGGACGCACCCTCTACGGCTTCGGTGGCTAAGTCTGATCTCACAGACCCTGTGTTTGTAGAAATAGTGAAGGCCCTTTTTAGGGCCACCTATCCATTCATTTGAGAGAACTTGTGGCACTAGGTTGATGTTTTCAACCTTTTTTTTTTTTTCTGGAACTGGAGTTACCATCGGGTTTTCTGGGCAGTCTGAGTGTTCAAGTTTATTCCAGTGTTACAGGCTTCCTGCTCCTCAGTGGTTTTTCTAACAAGTTTCTAGTTTCTGACTGCATTATCTCAGTAGGATCTACTTTCGGTTCCTAGGATTCCTTTGCTTCGTAAAATTGAAGCAATCTGATGAACTTTCCTTTTAAAACTCGGTACAGATTTAAATCCGGGAGTTATTGTTCATCTATAAATGAAGCTTGAATGTGTATGGGAAACGTAGGTAGTGCTTTGTTAGCCTGCTCAAGTCTCAAAAATTTCTCAAATATTCTGCTGCTAGGGAAACTCAAAGGAAAAGGTACAATGAAAACAAACTGAACAGTAGATAGGGGAGATACATGTAAGCCTTGGTGGCACTTGGAACAGGTATTCTCTCCAGTAAAGCACTTGTATTTTAATTATCTAAATCAATTGTCCAATATTTTCTCATCCACAAAAAAAGTAACTGGGATTTTTCTGTTGTCACATCCATTCCTGATAGTTTCTAATAAAGCAACAACTGCAATTTCATCTCACAAGCACTCTGGCTTCTTTTCTCAGTTATACCAGAACCCAAGGAACATAGACACCTGTGCTGGAAATCAGCCACCCCAAAGGTTTTATCATTTGTCAGCATTTGCAAAGAAAAAAAGGAGAAACTCCCCAAAACCATAGTAACCAACTCTGTCTTAACTTTAAGAAAAAGTTACTGGAAGTGGCCTATTTAAAAGGCCTTCAA